AACTGCATTTTTTCAGGAAGCTTGTCCAGAATAATGACACAGCTTCTTACACCATCCTTATATTGCTGTAGAAACAGAAATACAAATACACATTGTCACCACACATAACTACCAAACATACTATTAGTCAAAGGAGTTACTCCCTAGTTGAATAACAGTTAACAGCATTCTAACAGGATGACCATGTGCTACCTATGGGTTTCCATACAATAAATTTCTAATAGCACTAAAGTGATAAGAAGTTAAATATATACAACGTATAACCTATTTACCCTGTAAATGCATATTATACATGTTTGTAGTTGGAAGTACAATTGAAAAATTATGCATAAAACTATTGAAACAATTATACAATATTTACCTTTTTGGACCGCATTTCAAGGATAAATAAAGCTTCAGCGCCCAATCTATAAATAAAATAGAACTACAAATAAGCTAAACAATACTTACCTCACTCTGTATATCACACGTGCCTGTATAAATAGTACCATACTACTATAGACATGGACCGATAAAGCACTGTCATGGTTTTTCACGTGCCCTTTAAGGAACACCAGTAGTGCCAAGACGGTAGAAAAATACCACACACACGACACACAATATACAAATAAAGACTCTTCTATAACATACGCTTACCTCTACCTATTCCTAATTTGTAAATGGAAGGCGCTTTTCATCATTTTTTTTTTTTTTTTAATTTTTTACATTTTTGCAAGTGAAATATAGAGAAATATCTCATTTTAAAAAAAGCTAAATAACACTTTAGCTGACTTAACACCAATGTAAAGAGAGAACACAAATCAACTTTCAAAAATACGGTAAAAAAACCGCACGCACACATACATAAAACCAGAAGCCAGTTTACAATTTACTAGTAACACTACCTTCAATTCCGTAATAAATTTTTATTTTCATGAAAGTCAGCAAACAATGCAACACAGATTATCTTATCCGAGATGAAACCAAATCCAATACCAAAGGTCTTGAATGTGAAGCTAATACGTTAGACGTTTCAAGTGGATTCATGTCATCAACGGCTGCATGTTGCAGCCATATTTAGAAAAAAAAACACGCACATAATATATTTGTTGCGTATTGTGACGTTATAATGAGTGGGTATTGTTCACGAAAAGCCTAGTCAGCTTCCTCGTTTTATATCTGTTCTAAAAAGGCCAGTAATTTTGCTATTTTACTTGTGAAAATGTAATGAATAGAATATTTAATAGTTATTAGACACACCTGTGAAATATATTTGTTATTACTGAAGACACTATTAAACATCCTCTATATCTCTTTTTGAACATTCTTCAAATAATAAATTTGACTTTCACTTGGCATACACAAATATGCAGCTAATAGTTTAGGGTTGCCATCTAAAATGATGTAAATGTGTTTGCAGTCATATGAAACAACATAATGAGATAAAAGTGTTATCTAGAGATACTATCTCCGCATGAACCAGTATCTATGTTTGGGGTAACTGTGATGATAAGAGGACATCTTCGCTAGAAATAGTCCTGTTAACAGTTGTCAATAATCACAACCTAATTTCTAAACTACTAACATATATGCAGCTCAGTTTTTGTTATTGTTTTTTTTTTTATTATTATTATTTCTTAATTTTTGTTTGTTTGTTTGTTATGTTTTGTTTTTTCTCCTAACATCAACTACCTGAATTAGCTAGGGTTTCTGTCTCAATATCCCACACATAAAGTTGCCATGGTTTCTGTCTCAATATCCCACACATAAAGTTGCCATGGTTTCTGTCTCAATATCCCACACATAAAGTTGCCAGGGTTTCTGTCTCAATAGTTGCCAGGGTTTCTATCTCAATATCCCACACATAAAGTTGCCAGGATTTCTGTCTCAATATCCCACACATAAAGTTGCCAGGGTTTCTGTCTCAATATCCCACACATAAAGTTGCCAAGGTTTCTATCTCAATAACCCACACATAAAGTTGCCATGGTTTCTGTCTCAATATCCCACACATAAAGTTGCCATGGTTTCTGTCTCAATATCCCACACATAAAGTTGCCAGGGTTTCTGTCTCAATATCTCGCACATAAATTTGCCAGGGTTTCTATCTCAATATCCCACACATAAATTTGCCAGGATTTCTGTCTCAATATCCCACACATAAAGTTGCCAGGGTTTCTATCTCAATATCCCACACATAAAGTTGCCAGGGTTTCTGTCTCAATATCCCACACATAAATTTGCCAGGGTTTCTGTCTCAATATCCCACACATAAAGTTGCCAGGATTTCTGTCTCAATATCCCACACATAAAGTTGCCAGGGTTTCTGTCTCAATATCCCACACATAAAGTTGCCAAGGTTTCTATCTCAATAACCCACACATAAAGTTGCCAGGGTTTCGGTTATATTATGTTCATACCCAGCATACATACACGTATGGTGTAACGAGTACTGTGTAACGCGTGGGGAATATATGTTCACTTAACGACATGTTTAATATATCAAATGAAAATATGAATGTATTATTATAATTGCGCACACTCATTACGGCTTTAAATTGTACGTGTTTCATCAATTTATTTACGAATGACCACTAGTGGTTATATATGAATTCAAGCTATAACTTCAAACTCAGACATATGAATTTTGTGTAAATTGTGAACAAAGCTCATATACCTGAATCCTTATATATATTAACACTATCGTTTTATTGTTACTACACACACACACCATAACCTGGACAATGGGAAGGACCTCAAACAGGTTACTCGAGAATAAGTTAGAATTACACGAAAATGTGCTTCACTATATATTTCAATAACCTGGCAATATATAAACAGATCTTCAGTTCTATGCTGTGGAAATTTTGTTTGAATTCCACTTTACGGGTACTCACAATGTGTATACAAATATATATACCTGAGTTTGCCCGGATTGTGCAATGGTACAGCTTATATCAAAGCGTACCCACAATACCATACCCACTCGTTTCCATGTACATATTTCATCCATTCAATGTTACCAAAAGTGTTAGAGGTAGAATTCTGACGTATATATATTAACTCACACATATATACATATAGGAATATTTGTATACGACTCTAGCCTCGATATATTTTCAGTGTACAATGGTGCAATGTGTATATAGTAATTGAAATAGACTAACCAGATAAATATATACATATTGATAGCAAATGACATGGTTGTTTAAAGTTTTTATTTTTACACGAAGCGGGGTACAAAACAACCTACATGTACAAATGTACTATCGGGGAATCTTTTCAAATACAAAAGTCGTCGGCTAGGATGTCCTGAAATTCCTTGAGGAATTTTCATACAAGATCTTTTCAAGGAGATATTAGCTGAGGAAAATCTTGACTTGAGGAAATCTCAAGTTGAGATGTTTTATACAAGTGGGGCCTGGTTATTAATCGCATCCCGTAGGGGTATCAACGCCTCTTCTACTCTACTGTTCACAGCTGAGTTAAGAACATGGCTATCCGAGAGGGGCTGAGTGACAGCACTATCAATAGCTGGCTTCATGGGGTTGAGTAACAGGTTCGAAACCATTGTTTTGTTGCGTGGGTAGGAGCAATGTTTCTGCGAATTTGTTAAGAAATTTAGGTGGAAATATGATTAATGTAGCTGCAGTTAGGTGTGATAATGGACGTAGATGGGGATATCTTTTGTTTTCCGTATTTAACCCAAAGGTAGGGGAGAGAGGACTGTTCATCGTTTTCTTTTTTTTTTTTAAATAAAGAGTCTGACGTTGATCTTAACGGATTGGTGAAGACCATAGCTTCTTCGGATGTTATAGCAGGCTAAATATAGAATTCAGGTACACGTAACAAGCACACTGGTCACTGCAAAACAAGTATTTAAGCCACAAAGCACAGAAGTCAAAATATGGATTTTAGTCGTCCTTAGTCACTTATACATCGCTGACATCAACACTCTCAAAGAAATGCGTCCTAGAATATAGGTAATTACAAAAATATTCACCACACGACAACCACCGCTGACATTTGCTTGACCATCACGCGACGCATCCCTATTGTTCCATCTCACCAAAGAGTGCTTGCCTCTGACTAAAGCACATTTTGTATAGTAACATGTAAAGTATTGAATAACCGTAGAATTTCTATAAATTCTACACGGTAAGTCAATTTGATTTTCATTTTTAGCAATTGATTCCTTATCAAGTTACATTTTGATATATTTCTAAATCGTTAATAAAATAATACGCACTTGCACATACATTAAAGATATGAGACAGGAGAATGTAGGAAGTACTATTTTCTTTTGATGCCTACTTGAAATTCTTAAATTCTTGGGACATCATTTTTTAGCGTGTTTAAGGGGAGGTTACTGAAATTTAGGGACTGTTAATGTTTAAATACAGTCAATTAGTTTAATACACAAACTTCATTTATTTTACAACAATTACGAAACAGATTTTAAGCTTATATTAATCACTCTTGATGGTCCCGGTGAAAACCAACGTGGTCGGGCAGGTGACCCCCATACCTTTTCACGTCTATTACGAAGAATAGAACCCCGGACGGCTAGGTGAAAGACGAATGCGTTGCCAGTGCACTGCGCCATCCGATATACCCTTGTCGATTAGTGCTAATGTTCATTTTCAGTCATATACATTTCAACATTTTTCTGCATTTGAGGATATAAAAAAAATCAGGTTCAGTTGAATTTAACCTCTTTGTGCTCCAATTTCCCAAGCACATCAATAACTACCCATACCCACAACCCCACCCTCACAATCACACATAGAAAAGAATACAAATAAGAACAATAATGATAAGATAAGATAAAAATTCATGAAGTTATTAAGACAGAAAAACTAGGTTTACTGTTATCAGTAACTATCCTCGCATAGCATCGAACGCTATTGTGCGATCATTTTGTTGCTTAATGTAGTTGTAAACGAACGCGCCCGTATTTCGGTTATCCTCTTTTTCTCTTCGGGCGTTCTCGAGATTTTTTTTTCTTACATCAGACGAAGATGGCTGCTCCATGCGCAAGATGCAGAGCAGTAATTTCGAATTTATGTAAGTATTTTAGTATATTTGTTTAAGCATTTAATGTCATGATACTAGCACGTTAATGTAAAGGATAGAAATATTAATATTGTTGAAACATTTTCGTCAGAATTTGGTCGTCATACTGAAGAAATGAGATGGTTTAGCAGTAAACCGAACAAAAAGACGAGTCGTAGAAGTTAGATATGTATGTAACAAATATGGCTATATAGGCAGATATGATAATATTATCAGATACGACTATACGTATATAGGACAGTTGTAAACAACTGAACTATAGCATGCTACAACCATGGTGTGCACATCGAAAGAAAATGGACGAAGAATCTAGATGGTTAAAGGAATGTGTTTTGTCATAAGACACCATTTCCAGTGAGTTGGTTTGATTTCGTCGTTATAATTTCTGGTAATTCCATTCCTATATCATGCTGAAAATGTACAGGTGAACCGGATCTACATCAAGGGGATATTGATCTTCAGATGACACAGTGAGCGAATGACACCAATTTGGATGGGCTCGCCGTAGAGTTTGTTACTAAATAGGGTGTGTACATAATTCTGATGAAAATGCAATGATGAAATTCCCAAAAATTCACCTGATATTGAGCAAACATGCCAAAAACATTTATTTTGCTGACTTAAATTATTTGTCATCCATTTTTTCAATTTGCACAACAGAAAAGTGACTGGACCTCACCTATATAATTACATTTGACCCTTATACATATAATCAGATTTGACTACATAGCCAAGTATTCCTATGTAGCCAGAATTGTTAGTGCTTCAGTACTATCTGGCTATGTATGTAGAAGTTGAGAGTACAGGTCGCTTAATTACTAGCCTTGGCAAATGAGACTTTGTCTTTAGCCAAGCAGTATAGTGTCCGAATAGAGACCAAAAAGTCTCGAGTTTGAACCCCAGCCGTGGCAGGGTGTTTTTCATTACTCCTCTTTAATAAAGATTTGGTGCTGTTGACCACTCAAAGGGTATCAAAGCTATAGGGAGATTGAGATGCTGAATTTGTGTTGTTGTCTTTAGGGTCAAAGATTTTGTGAAGGAGGAAGAGGTGTAGAAGTTGATAATATACAGATCGCCTGATTAGCATACCTGCCAACTTTCCTGATTTAGTCGGTTAATTTTTTTAGTTCTGTCATTCCAATTTTCCAGTATCTGTGTAACAAAACCATCAGATCATTGGAAAACAGGGATGCAAGTAACGAAAATTGCAATAACAAAATTCAACCTACTAACAAAAATTGTGTACTATGACAAAAATCTTTTGTTTCTCCAACTCACTAAATTTGTCATCCATATTTTCAATGTACTAGTACATCTGACAATCGTGACCAGGTATCCTTATGACATATCTGTATACATTTTCTCTACTTACAACATCTGACTATTTAACAAATTTTGCCAGAATTGGCTCCAGTATCTGCCTTGTAAATACTAGCCATAAGATTTGTAAGTCAGAGGTTTGAATCCCACCAGAGGTATTGCAATAGATAATGACTAGTGTTCCAATTAATGAAACTGGATATTTGACTTTAAGAAGGGTTTTTAAATGCAAAACAGACATCAGATGGATTGATGATCAAATCACATTTCTGTCCTTGTGCTGTTGTCTACTCCCTGAACATTTCTTCACTTCTTGTTGTCGTTTTTTCTTGAGAAGCACCCTGTGAACCTGTGGATTCTTTTCAAATTTAGATTCTCTTTGGTTATTTTAGTCATGCAGACCAATTAAACAAACATGGCTGACAGGCAACCAGTATTTATTTTCACTGTTAAGAGTTTGTTTTCGTTATTTCTTAAAAAGCACTGGAGGATCATTCTAAAATTGCCTATGCAGGGTCCTTTTTGTCTTTAATGGTGCATTTTCCCTTGTAGAGGATTACTGGATGGATTTTCTTGGTTCTTAATTAGTTGTACATTGTCCTTTTTGACTAAATTATAAGACAAAGTGGCCAAAAGGAAACTTTCTTGGGTTTTGACTATTAAACATTGTCATTGTATATCCTTGAGAAATAAAGGTTTCATCAATTATAAATTGCGTATTTAGGTCACCCCAACTAAGTCCCAATGCAAGTTGTGCATTGCCTATGATCGCTCAAAGGGCTGATAATTAAGAGTGAAAATTGGTCGCTGGAGGCCATCTTGAATTTTTAAGGTATTTTTTGCTTTTGTCATTTCTGAAAAGTATAATCAAAGTACTAGACTAATTTTTTTTTTTTTACAAATTTGACATAAACTTCCCTTGGCAAGTTGTAAATACCTGTTACATCTTTAATTGTGGACTGATAAGGTAAACAATAATAGCTGACAGGTGGCCATCTTGGATTTGGACAGATTTTATCATCAGTTTGCTTGAGAGGTGCACATCATACTGGTTGTGTCTTACTCAAATTAAGTATTACAATGAATTAAAAGCCCAGTAAGGAAAAGATCCAATTAAAAAAAATCATGATGGGCACCAGGACCCACATGGGATCTCTCAATTGTATTAACAACCAAATAATTGTTTTTTTCACTGAAGGCATCTGAAACATTGAAATACCATTTCAACAGGAGAAATGTTGTACTACTCTTGAAAAAATTTCTAGATTTTGCTTCACTTTCTTTTTCCTTTGCTTAGCACTTCATCATCATCAATTCATATTTCATGTTGACTATCATGTCATTGAAACAAAGATTTAGTTCCTCATTATTATACATTGTAATACCTTTAGGGGTCACCATTTAATATATGAAATACAGTTTATAAATTGAACTTGAATGGAAATTAGATCTGTATATCTCAAAGGTAGATGTTACCTTTGGATAAAGTTGAACTCCTGAAATACGCTGAAAATGTTGCTGCTTAAGAAGTTAATAATCCACCCGTACCTGGGTTTACGACTTGATATTGAATAATTAGATATAACTGAAAAAGAGACAACTTTTTCCAAAAGTTTCTACCTATGTTGTCATTGATTATTTTAAAAAAAAATCAACTATTTTTATCATTTATATCACTATTTTGCAAGGCATTAACATGCCTGGGAAATTTTATTCATGAAAATATAAGATCTTCAAATTTCTTCTGCAATAAAAATTGCCATTAAAATGCTGTTGTCATGTTTGGTAATACCATTTAGGTGACTTAAAAGCTGCCATTTATCTAAGGCTATTTGTGACTTTTAAATTTCTTTAAATCAACAAACAAATATTTGAAATTGAAGCAGGATTCATGAAAGCTATATATCCTTTTATATTCAGATCACAAAATTTTATTTGTTGAAATTTTCTTTTCTTGTTCTAAATTAGAATTGTGAAAATTTTGACCAACCAACATATCCAGCAATACGATGCAAGCGAGCCATATCTTCATTACCTTGAGTAGACAATTTCACTTCACATAGATTTCATGATTCATTTTTTGATGATTGCTTTAAGTCTCATAAGCTGTTTTCATTTGTCTTACTACACAGTTATAGAAGAAATGAAAAAAACTTGCTGAGATGCATATGACTGTATGAGCTTATTTAGAAGAGAACATAATTTTTTTGGGCACATCAAATAAGATACATATGTATCTTTATATTTCTTATCCTGCTTGAATATTCTAAAGTAATGAGAATACAATTGTTTTGATTTCGCACAAATGAAATTTTAAGAGACACTTCATTCCTGTTATTAAAAACTGGTAGTTTGTATAGACAGTGCCCAGGCTCTTTTGCTATTGTAATACACACGTGTACCTATGGTAAAAAAATATTAATTCTTTTTGTCTTAATACATACAATATATGCTTAAATGTAAATATTACACCCAGCAAGGTTCTTTCATTTTTTTCTTGCAGTGTGAAAATATTTTGAGGAGGACACTATACTGATTGGAACAGTTCAGAAAAACAAAATGGCTGAGAGTGATGGACTCACAGATAGCCCTGCTAGTGTCGACGATCAGGCTAAAGCTGCCGAAGGAAAACTGCGTCTCATCAAAGAAAGTCTCAAGTTCTATGACTCTAAAGGTTTGAAAACTCTCATCCTTGAGGAGAAATTGTCAGACCAATCTATATACTGGGAAGTTGCTACACAACTAACCAAGCACCTGACAGCAGAAAATTTCGAAAAGTATACAGTGTTCTTTGAGTCTTGCCAGAGATGTCTGAACTATTTGATTAGAACTGGCAATGCTAAAGAACTGTTGTTAGCATTGTTGGAGCAAACAGACACCTTCAATGATGACATCAAGTGGAAAGCTCTTTTAGATGGAATACAACAGACCCTGCTGAAGCTGCCGTCAAAAAGATACCACTCATTGGACATCGCCTTGTCCACAATACATGCCCACATCAAAAGTCTGTCTGAGCCAACAGACCATGAGTTGGAGGGGGAGGAAAACAAACTACTAGAACTGGACCCTGAGGTCCAGCGAATCACAGATGTCTTACTAAGCTTTCTTGCGTTTCTTGAACCTTTTGTGTCGGAAGTATCCCTAAATAACACAACTGCAGACAGAGAGAAAGGCAAACATCAGATAGCAATGTTACGTAGAAATCTGCTTCTGATACTGAACCATCCTCTGGTCTTTTTGGATCTGGCTTTCTGTGAGAAGCAGCAAGAGAGGAAAGCTAAAGGATACGCTCGAATGTGTATCGAAAAAACCATGAACCTTCTCTGTGAATTATGTCCCAACCTGCTAAAAACAATTACAGACTGTCTGGAAGATATACAACTATCAAAACTGAATATGAAAAAAAGTGTGAAAAAAAAGGAGGATGATGATAATGAGGAAAATTCTGATTTTGTTAATAATTGGGCAGAGTGTAAGGATGAAGGTTTGATTCCCCTTCCTAGTCTGGCCTGTCTGTCCTATCTGGTGTTGGTCGAGGGGCTTGGACAGGAACGCTTCCCAGCCATTTACACGCATAAATATCTTCTGGAGTTTAATTTACAGTTTGTGTTACTGCTGTTTCAAAGACAGGAATCGTTGATTGTCAGTAAGGGTGTACGACTTCTGGAGGT